AGGAAATGGTGATTGTATCCCATCACTTCTGAAGAAATGTCTAAAAGGAAGGCTGGTGCTTCTCTCAGGAGGCATGTTGTTTGAAAGGAGAATGGGAAGCCTCCCTTATTGTGCTCTCTTTGGACAGCTTTTATCCTGGTCCTTTTTTTTTGCTTTGCTATATGTTGCAACAGCATCTTCAACCTGGATGATGTTTCTTCTGTCTCAGAGAAGGCAGCAGAAAAGAGGAGCAGGTGTTGAAGATGGAGGAGAATATTTGTATACTGGATGCATCTGTGTGGTCCGCTAATGGGAAGAAGATTGGTAACCAAAAGGGCAGGAACAGAGGCCCCTACGGCAGTGCAAGGGTGCAGTTCACAGAATGTCCCTGAATGCAGATTAAGCAGTGAGTATGGATGTGTAGTAGAGCAGCTGCCACGGAGCTGTTCCCATCCCAGCTGTCCAAAATAATAATTAAAAAAAAAAAAAAAAGTTTGATTCAGGATCTCAGGAAGAAAGATGTGTAAGCATACTACTACTCTTGTTGGAGTAGTAGCTGATGGAATGGCACATGCTATAATTAGTAAGAAGTTTCAGTTAAGATAGTTTGGAGCTTCCAACTCTGGAAGGGCCATGGGCTCAAGTTCTAAGGTGGTAACCTTACATTACCTCTCTCCAAGGTATCATCCTTGCTTACGGGGTTGTTAACAAGAAGGCCTGAAATACTGTTTCCCACTTAGTCTCTACATCAGTTCTGAAGTAGTGTGTGCATCTATGTACATGAGTGGCCAAGTGAGCATCCTGGACCTGTCTGGAAAGCTTTTCGCCCTCCAAGGCCAGGAGGTGCTTGGGTTCTCTGCCTTGCTTGACTAGTGCCTACCCCCTCGTGTGATTCTGCTCTCCCTCAAGCATTCTGGCACAGTATTAACAGTGTCAGTTTCTGTCATAGTAGCTAAGGTTAAAAAGAAATACCAATTAAAAAAATGTTCTTTTTTTTTCCCTTCTGAGAAATCTTTGGCTCAGCCGTTATCTGAGGGACAACAACAAACCATCCCTGCCGTATTTAGCTCCACACTCAGAGGACTGTCAAATTAGCGGTCCTAATTAGAGCAAAAGACATGGAGAATATTTTGCTGATGTAAAACATTGAATTGTGACTAAAACCAGGGAGGAGGAAAGAAAGTTACATGCTTGGAAGAGCAACACTACAGCAGGGCAAAGGCAGAAACTAGTTTAGTTCTTGTTTATCAGCATGCTTGTCTTGCTCACGTCCTGTTTTAATAACTGTATGGAGTTGTTAAACCTGAATCTTTGCATTCTTGAGAATGCAAGAATTTCAATGTTAGTAATGGGTAGGACTGGTGAATTATTTTGGTAGGTTTCCATTTAAGAACTGACCTTTGTTTTGAATCATAAGAATGAATGGAGATCATGAGGTTTCTTAAAAGCAGGAATAAAAGTTCCGTTTTTGTCAATTAATCAAAGAGAATCAGGGGAAACAATCATTTTTTGTATACATTATTCCAGCATTTGCCATCTTGGTAGTTCACATCTTCCTCTGAAATACCCAGTTTGGCTTCTTTGAAAGCAGCTGCTGGTGGGATCTGGTGCCATGTTGCCTTTGTTCCTGAGAATTTGAGAGTGACAGTGCAAGTTGAGGGTACTATTTTTCAAGTGGAACCACAGAAGAAAGACACAGTCCAGATGAGCTGAAGAGAGCATCAGAAGTGTTGCTTTTTGTTGCGAGTAGGTTTTCTTCCATCTTGCACCTGCTGTTTGTGCCATTCCTTTACTCCTTCCAGACTGAAAATACCTGTGAGGACAGGAGGTCACTAATACACATGATAGAATTATCAATCATTTTAAGAATTTATAGAGGAAAAGAAAGAAAGGAATCATTTGAAGAAACATTGACAGCATTAGGCAGCAGTGCAAATTTTGCCTAGTCTATTTAAACATACAAATAGGTTTTAAATATAATTCTGATTTTAGCAAGTCTATAACAAGGTCAAGGAATGCAGAAATGTACCCTCTACGAATTATTTCAGACACAAGGCAGCCTGTATACATTTTCACCTTCCCACTCATACCCTAGCATCTTGCTGTTGCTTTGTTTTTCTGTTGGGTTGTAAATAGGAAACAAAAGAACTTGGTACTTTTTCACACTATTGCAGATGAATTGGTTAGATAGGGTAGAATAATGATGGACTTTGTGCTGAAGGACAAAGGCCCTTTTTTTTTTTTAACGGAAAAAAAAAAGTAATGTTAATGTATTATGCACTTACAATTTCCAGTATCACGGCCTTCACGGGACAGAAAGAAATGTAAAAATGAGGCTGCAAGGGTTTTTGTGAAAGGTGTGAGCTAGTTCAATGCAAAGCTTTGCTCTTGGTGGAGCAAGGACACAATGAAATAGTTTGTGCCCTTAAAAGAACAGGTCAGGCCAAATAACCGGAGTGATAAACCTGAATGCTAAATTATGTGGCTCTCTTCTTTCGTGTGATCTCACCAAGGTGGAAAAGAAGTATTTGAAAAAGTCACAGTTCACCCTTACTTTTTATTTTTACAGCAGACGGGTCACTGTTGTGTGCTGCCCGTCTTACATTGCTTCTTCACTTTGTGTCTTCAACATCTTTCGCAACTTTCCCTGGATTTCTATGCTTGTGGTAAATGTCAGAAAGGTATTCTTACCTAAGATGATGACAAGGGCTTTCTTACTATTTTTGCTTTTATAACAGGAGAAGCATTTTAAACATCCATGTTTTTATGAATGAAATCTCTAAGCCTTTAAAGTGCCATGGGAAAGGGAAGCAAGACAGTAAGAAGGATCATCTCCTATCATTGCCAGCCCCAGACTCTTCTAATCCTCATCTAATCACTGCATTGATCAATACCCTAACCTCAGAAAATAAAGTAAACCTCATTAGCTGTCTGCCATCAGGAAGGTCAGAAGAGTGAATTTGATGTGACAAAGAAGGGTGTTTGGGACTGACTCCAACATCTTGGCTGTGGTGGTTTTGGCTTTGCTGAGCGCCTTTCCATCCTTCTCATATCAGCTGTGTGGTGCAGAGTGACAAACAGAAGCTCAGAGACTGGCCTTAATCACCCCCATGGACCCCAGAGAAGCCTCTTTCTAGGGGAAGAGGATGCTGTGTGTTGAGGCACCTGCCCAGGGTTTGGAGGTGGATGAGTGCTTTCTGGAGGAGAGTTTCTCTTTTTTTTTTCTGGGTGCTCTTTTTTTCAGGATGCTGAAAGCGTTTGGAACTTCACCCTGATGTGGCTTTATGGATAACTAGGAAAAAATGTCTAGAAGTTAATAGTTCCTACTTGGATCACTGTAGTCTCTTGATATCATTTAATACAGAAAGTGCATATTCCTAATTGAATATTCCTGTAAGCTTGAGATGGATGAGACAAAGCTGAAGTTCCCATTTAAGGTTTAGATTTGAAAAGTTAATAAAAACGCTTCTATATTTTATCTTTTCGCAGTGCATTTTTATGTGTATTTTTGAGGTCATACATAAATAACCAGGCACACGTGGTTTGTGCTGTGCTGGTAGCGTATTGGGATATTGAGATCTGTTCTGATTGCTAAATGATGAACAATGGATTTACATTTGGGTGAATGTGATATATAAGTGGTGTATTGCCAGGTCAAGCGGTAAGTGATTTTTTTTTCTTGAAGTTTTATTGCCTGGACTGGTCTTTGCTCTTTGTTTTATCTGCCTCAGGGCTTCCTTTAGCTTTTCTAGTCCCCAACTCCTATCAGATAACATGTATTTAAAAATAAACCAAGCTAACGTAGAAATGTTGCGTTTCCTTTCTCAGATGTGACATTTGTTCTATTTTTTCACCTTTTCAGCATTCAAGTTAGGTAAAAATATAACCTGCACCTGAACACATTTCCTGTCCATGACTCGTTTGATATTTTACGCACACCTCTATAGTAAAACAGCAGTCTATACCTGGCTGTACTGAACATTGAGCAGGTGGGATTGCGGGCAGTGCCACAATAAAACAAAGTTATGTCACAACAAGGATTAAAGACGTGAAGTCAAATCTACTTGAGTGCTCAAGTGGAGGTGTTTCTTTCCTGCAAACATTTGAATTTTTAATTCTCTTTCTTTGCGGTGCTACCCCAGTGAATACCCTCACTGCTTCTTTTTTTTCTTTGCTACCTCTGCTCTACCTCATCCCATGACGCAGCCATACCAGCTGTCACCTATGGGCATTGTTCCAAAAGCAGTGGCTTAATGTCACGTTCCCAGCTCTGCACTGCTCTCACCATCAAAATCCCGACTGCTCCTTTCTGAATGCAGCAAAGAAGCATTCCCCAGGGCTGGCCAAGAGTGTGGGTCTCAATCTACCATGTGGGCAGCTGTCGGTCATTAGTTTAACAGCTAAATGTATTGCTTAATGCCATTTAAAATCCAGTGCTTAATCTGTCTGTAAAGTCTTCCAATTATTTTAGTTTGAAACATGGTTGTTGATGTGTTTTGCTGATTTTTCTTTTTTTTTTTTTTTTTAGTTTCTATTTCCCTGAATTGTAGTTAGAGCAAGGAGCAGTAAAAACTTAAGGATCTGACTTTCGGGCCTGCTCCAGCAGTGCTGAATCAGCCAGAGCCTTTCTGTAGCTGGCCAGGATTTCACTTCAGGAGGGTTTGTAGACACGGGAAGCCTTTGTGTTAACTTCAGTGGTTCAGAATTACTTTTTAGCATCAGAGTATCTCCCCAGGAGGCTGAAAGCGCAATGCAATACCTGTAACACAATGTCTCCCAAAGCCAGAAGAAAGGACAAGCCAGAGCATTTTGATTTTACTCCGATTTGCTGCTGGTTGCCTTAAAGCAGTGGTATTTTTCCTCTATTGCAACGCCTTTGAGCCTGGAGCCAGAACTTGTTCTATCCAGTAATTTGGAGAAGCGACTCAAGCCTGAGATTTAATACCAGTGAACACGAAAGAGATATACTGGCGGCGAATGGGCCGTAAGTGCTTCTGACACGGTTTCCTCCTTCCCTACAGGTTGGACGAAGTTTGCGCGGCTGACGCGGGCCCTGACGAACAGCCGGAGCGTCCTGCAGCAGCTGACGCCGATGAACAAAGCCGAGGTGGTGCACAAGCACTCCCGCCTGGCCGAGGTAAGTGGGACAGCCACCAGCCCTTGGTAAGGCACAAATAGATATGGGGGGGACACACACACCAACCTTCACATCAATAAATATTATTTTTAGGGTGACATGTTGCCTATTCTCTGACTTTTTCAACCTCTCCTTAGCTCTTTCTTAATAAGCACTGTGTGCCAAAAACATGTTTCCAGGACAGGCCATGCTCTTTCAGTCATGGAAACAGTCATTTACGTGGCCCCATGTGTGCATGCAAGTCTCAGTTTTCTCATTGCTGCTTAACTTGGGGTGCCTGGTTTGCTCCTCTAGCTGCTATCTCATAGAGACCTGGAACCAGGCTCGATGTTCTGAGCCCTGTGGATGGTTGCTGAGATCATGGATGGGTTTTTTGAGAAGCCAGGTGCTCTTCTTTAGAAGTATCCCTGCCTGGGTCCCTGGGGCTGTACAGGCACAATGACTACACAAAGACCTTAACCTCCACTTCCTTGCAAAAGTCATTCCTGAAGTGTTTTGCTCATCATTTTCTTCTTCAGAACTGATGGAATAAACTCTTTGGCAGGTTGCAAACATCTCCTTAACAGTGCAGATGGTGCAACAAGTGAATGCCTTCAGGTTAACTGATGAAACAGAGGTACTGCTTTCATCTTCATGTCCATGGGTAATGAATAATATACGGGTCAAAAGTATATGGTCAGTATACACAGGCTCCTAGAAACGACAACCCTAGCTACCTTGTGCCAGAGAGCTTGTCCTGAGTCTGATGCTGAGAACTGGGAGCAGTTTTAAATGTTTTTGTTGTTGTTTCGTTTCCTTTCTTGTTTTAGTGGCAATCTATAATATAAGCTCCACTTAAAATGAAATCAGAATGGAAGCTTGCAGTTTTCATGTGTTGGCACTGTGACATTTTCCATGAATTATCCCATACCAGTAGCTTCGCTGACTGTTGAATTACTCCCACTTCTTGCTTTTCTGATTCATGGCATTTCAGTGTTCTGTAAATCCAGTTATATCTGTTAATGGTTTAGTCTAGAGAAGAGAAGACTGGAGAAGATCAGGCAGCAATATTCAATCATATCTAAAGCAGCTGCACAGAAGGAGGAAGGAAATTGTTCACCATCTCCTCTGTAGCTAGAGGAAAAAACTAGTGAAATTCAGTCACTGCAAGGAAGATGTGGGTTGGGCTGCAGGACAAACTCAGATGAAGTATAAGGTTGTAGCTGGGGACAGATTCTTTGGGGAGCATGCAATCTCCTCTCTTACAAGTTGTTTACAGCTGCAAAGTGCTTCAGAGACAAAGTGCTGTCAGGAATTCAGAGTAGGGTGCATTTCTGAGGTGGTCATGTGCCATTTCCATCCAGGCCCATTTTCCATGCTCCTGTGTCTGAGGAGGAGCATTTTCATCCCAGCTCATCCCTGCCAGAACAAACCACTCGGCTTTACCAGACTTACCCACTGTTAGCCATGCCTGTTAGTTGTATACAAGAGTAATTCAGAGGGTCTGTGACGAATGCAGCTGACTAACAAGATATTGTGTATTCTTTAGTGGTTTAAAATTAAAAATTCATGCAGCATGAAAGAAATAATCATTATAGTTCAGTGGTCTCCACAGCCATTTGCCACCCACACACCATGTCAAACTCAGCATGATATTATGTTAAGAATAATAATTATGCCTTTACAGTACCATGGGATCGTCTCAGCACTTCACCACCAGAGGCGTAGGGAACTATCAAGCATATGTTCATCGCATTCGGCTTGAGCCCTAAGAAACTTATTACTCCAGCTATTGTGAGGCTGTTTCTAGCTCCTGCCCCAGTGAACAGGACAGGGAAAAAATAGACCTGGAGATACCCAGAATGGAAGATCCTGTCCCAGTGTATCATGCCAGTGAGGTGTAGAACTGTCTTGTCCACAGATGAGTGCAAAAAGAAGAGATGAGTGGAGATATTCACCAGATTATGTCTCAAAATCAAAATGGTATGTTAAATGCAGGGGATAATTTTGGCATTGGAAGAAGTTTCATGGGCTTGCACATAGGAGACCACTGTGAAAAGAAAACAAACGTTTTGGGCATTTTTTTTTTATTCTGGGAAGGACACATTGATCCATGAGCAAGTTCATTGTGCCACAATGGCCATTTGAACCTTGCCTCGTGGGTAGTTACAGGAGTGCTGTACGTGGGTATTGTCCCAGGCACTTGGGAAGCAGAACATGGATGCTGACACCTTTTGGGGTCTCACCAGGAGTTCGGTGTCTGTAATGGTTTCTGGTGAGTGCCGCTGGGACCAGGCTGCTCGGTGGGCATTGGTGGTCAGCCAGAGCTCAGTACATGGCTTTGTGTTATTCCAAGCTGCTGGCAAAGGGGACAGCCATGGTCTCCTGGAGGTTTCTGCTGCTCTTTCACTGCTTCTCAGGTATTGTGTTGAGTGGCTTTCTGACCTTCAACTCAGCCGATTCTATAGAAAACAAATGGCTAACTAATGTAAGGATGAGTTAATTTTTCATTGTATCAGCTTAACTCGTTTTCCTTACAGCGTGTGATTGTTAAATCTGACATTAGGGAGGATGGGAACAGGTAGGCACAAGCAGGTTTACATTACATCAGGTTACAGAATGACACTGAGCCAGAGGAGACATAGTGGGAACCACATCCTCCAGCATGGAGTGAGTGAGAGAGGCTGCTGTTGTTGTCCCTCAGTGATTTCTGAATAACAGACTTTCAGTAGAGCCAGACTTTACTGTCTGATCTCAGTAACAGCTTTCTTATCTTAAAAATAAGACTGTAAAGAATTAAGGGAGAATCTATATCTGTAATCCTTCAGTTCGTATTCTTAGTTGTTGTGCTATTTATTCAGCCATTCACTCCTCTTCATTGAGCAAGCATTCTGCTTTTGTTTGTCTTTGCATGTAAAGGGTTGCTCTTTACAATCTAACTGTACTGCAAATATGGTGCATCAGCTTCAGTATGGGGCAATCATAGGGCTGAAATGAGTTTTAAAGTTGTTGAAATTAGTTATTTTATTCTCTATGTACTTCAATCCCCAAATTTTAAAGGTGTTATTAGTTTGAAAATGCACATGAATCTTTCAGTTGTCAGTGCAATATATTACCGTGCTGTGTGTTCCTTTGTGCTTTTGTTTCTTGTGGTGGATGGAGATAAGAGGTAATTAGATTGGCTGGGAAGAATGTCTTGAATGAATTTGGCTTGGTTCCTTTGCAGCATTTCCAGTTCCACATTTTACAAAAGTGCGTGTGCAGGAGATTACAGTCATATGCAAAAAAAAAAAAAAAAAAAAAAAAAAAGTAATTAAAAGGAAAAAAAGAGAACCCACTGGTGATACTGAGCTTTTAAGGGCAACAGCATTTTGAAGTAAATGGAGAGGAAGCATGGTATTGCCAAGGAGTTAGGGCAGAAGTTGTGCACGTAATACTTCGTTTTTAGAAGGAGGTCAGCCAGCAAGGCTGAAGACTGGTTTGATAGGTATTGCTTTGGCTAAACAACAGTTTAACATGGGGATCGAGCATGAAATTAACCTTGTAAAACTTCCAAATGTGAATGAATATTCATGTTCATAACTGCAGGGCATGAGACAGTGCAGCAGTACCCACAACCTGTTGGTATGGAGCCTTTCTGCTCTCACTATGGGCATGGATTCCTCTGAGTACATCTGCAAAGATCTGCCTTTATGCAAGATTATCCTTAAATGCTCTCCTTATATCTATCTCCACTCTTTCTTATGTGACTTACATGCCGGTGAGCTCACTGGCTTAATAAACCAAATAATTTAGAAACTGTAGGTTGACCTGGAATATCCAATGAATACAGTCCCATCTTTTTGATTCTCCTTACAGAGATCTGTGAGACCCCCTAATTGTTTCATGTTAATTGAAACCAGTAATATTTGTTTTTCTGTCTGTTGTAGGTTCTCCAGCTGGGTTCTGATATTCTTCCTCAGTACAAGCAAGAAGCTCCAAAGACTCCACCACACATTATACTACATTATTGTGCTTTTAAGACCACTTGGGACTGGGTCATCTTAATTCTAACCTTCTACACAGCAATTATGGTTCCATATAATGTCTCCTTCAAGACGAAACAGAACAACATTGCCTGGCTTGTGCTGGACAGTGTCGTGGACGTTATTTTTCTCGTTGACATTGTTTTGAACTTTCATACAACCTTTGTTGGCCCTGGTGGAGAGGTTATATCTGATCCCAAACTCATAAGGATGAACTACCTGAAAACGTGGTTTGTGATTGATCTTCTGTCCTGTTTACCGTATGACATCATCAATGCCTTTGAGAATGTGGATGAGGTAAGCTATTGTAGTCCACCTGAGAAGTGTTGTTTTAATTAGGAATTAATTTAGGAGTGTGCTTCCAGACATCTGACAGCAACAACAGGCAATGGAAGCCCTGCACGAATGTGGGGATGCCATTAGGCAGCTGGGCTTTACCTATGTGATGTTCCCATGTTAAAGAAGAAGAGGTGTCCTAAGATTTCAGTGTTGCATTCAGCGATGTACATTAATAAACATGGTTTTCACAGTCACTTCCTTTTCCTCCAAAAGCATCATCTCCCATCCACTTCCCAATGGGCTGAACCAGTTGGGGTGTCCCCCCGCCAAGCCTCCCTTTCCCGCTCAGACCCAGGGATTGCCTTTAAACACTCCTAATCCATTGCAGGACAGCCTGAAGCGGCTTTACGTAAATAATCAAAATCCTGTCTCTGCTCTGGCTGAAGTGGGTGACAAATTTGCCACTGAATTGTACAGAATTAGAGAATGCCTCTGAATGAGCATTTTTAAAATCCTGTCCTAGGATTACTTTTTGAAGCATCCTGTAATTTTCTTTTTCTTGTGTTGTGTTTTTAAATGTCTGATTGAGAGGGAGGCTTATCTCCATTTTTTAAACGGTCTTGAGTTAGTGCTGGAATTTTAGAAACTGTTTGAGGAGAGACAAACACATCTTAAAGGGACAGTGAATTAATGCTTTTTAACTGCTAAATATATAAATGTTTAATAAATTGGGCTTGCAGCCTAAGATAATAGAGGAAACAAGCAATAACTAGGACAAATAATATAGGCACAAGTCACTGCAGAGAAAATTCATTATTAAAATGCAAGTATAATGGCATTAGAGTTTGTTTTAATTTTTCTCTAGAGCCTTTATCTTTAGGGCCATAAACAGATGAAAAATCCTTTGTTCAGTTTTTTAAACATTTTAACTTTTTTTTTTCTTAGAATACTGTTTTTAAATTCTTTAAAAATATATATTTGCGGTTATGTATCCTTGCTTTATAAAATCCATGCTGGTATTTTCTAATACAAACGTTGGTGCAGGTTTTGTAGAGCTCTTAAAATTCCAGCCCTGTCTGTGTGCCGAGTACCTTCTTTTGACATTGTTCCGTTTTATTTATAGCAAATATGACAGAAGTGATAATACTTGCAGCTTAAATTCAAGATCATATGAGGGCTGCCCGTCTGGAATCAGGTTGTACAGTCAGGATTGTAAGGAGGTGGTATTATCAAGGTTGTAATAATACAGCTTTTTAAGATACCTTTTTAAGTTCCACATGAAGAGGAACCTGATTTTTATAAAAATGCAGTGTTACCTCCAGATTTTCATGTTTTAATATGTAAAACAAAAAATTTCTGTGCCCAAGCAGTACAGATTTAAATGACAAATTTAAACTCTTTCTCTGACATCCATGGGAGGTAAACCATCTGTGAGAATTGTGGCAGCAAAGAATCATTGGCATTGCGGATTATAATCGAGGCACACTTCAAGTGGCAAACGTTAACCAAAATGTAGTAACAATAAAAAGGTGATCCTGGAGCTGCTATGATTTTACCTTCAAAAAATGAAATATAAACTCCTTTTTAATAAGAGAGCCACCAGCAACATTTCTCTCTTCTGAAGTGGTGCGTTATGGCCCTGGGGTCTCTAGCAGACACCAGACACTGGAGCCTAACTGCTCGTATCTTTGATTTCAATGCCCTTCAGCCCAGATTTTCCCTAGCATCTGAAAAGAAGTGATTTTGAAAACAGGTATGTAAACAGCCAGTCTTTCTTCCTTACTCTCCATTTTGCCTTTTTGTTTGTTTGTTTTTGTCCAGAGCAGGTTTTTATGGTGGTATGTCTTCATTTGTGACATTTAAGTCCTTTAAGCTGGTTGGTGCGCTCTGGATGGTTGTAGTTGTTATGCTCTTTATCTTTGCATGGCTTTTACCATTTATTTTAACTGTTACTTCTTTTGTGGGACTTAAATTCTTGGGTTGCTAGCAGCAATGAATTTTCTATTCAGAGAATAAGTAAATTGATAAGCTTAATTTGGAAGAAATCTAATTGATTAAAAGTGGAGTGTTTCTCATTAGAAGGTGAGTGTTTCCTCCTCAAGGCAAGTCAGATAGAGAAATTTTTAGCTCTTGATTCTGGTAGATTTTTGCACTTTATCTTGGCACTGCATGTTGGATAAGGGAACTTGTCTTTAGCATTAAAGTTGGTGGTTGTGGCTTTTCAAAAAATTAATAGAAAATCAGAGCTTGTGGACAGGTTCTGGTGGTCTTTGAGCTTCTGGTGTGGTGGTGAAGGATGGCCCCAAATCAGTGTGATTTGCCCTAAAAGCCAGAAAGATTACTTTCCAGATTTGCTCCACTTGTGTGTCCCACCTCCAGCCCCTCCTGTTTTTTCATTTAAGACATCAAATGCGCTTGTGTGAGTTGTTAAGGGACCAGCTGGGTAGGGGGCTATCACTGTGGTCAGCTGCTTCTCTTCCTTATGAGTGGGTCTGTAATGCATAAGGAAAGATACAGCAAGGATGTTGAGGTTTGTGTCTCTCTGTCAGAACTCTCTCTCAGTTCATAGCACATGTGGATTTGGCTTTGGTTCAGACATAATAAAACATAAGCTGCTAGTTCAGCATCAGCTACTTCAGTGTCTGTGTTTGCTAGCCTGTGCTCATGTATCGGTGCTTGAAGTTACTTGTGCAGAGGCTGGGTTGTTGTGAAAGTTGCCTGGTGTACCCAGGTGCTATTTTATGAAGAAAGAATTAAGGAAAGAAATAGAAAGTTTAAACAAATGAAAGTGGGGGAAAAAAAAAGTGAGTTTCCTTGCTTGAGGGTTGGAGTTCTCCAAAAGCAGCCTTGGCTGGAGTAGGAGCAGTGTCATTCCCATCATGAACATTAGGCCAAAGCTGGAGTCTTGTGAAATTTCCACCTGAGGTAAGCATGACTGCAAAACAAAGTTATTTTGCTGTTGAGTGGACATAGTAGGTGGGTATAGCGGAAAGGATTATGATACGCACATTGAGAATCATGGGAACTATGTTGATTTGATGTGGAATTAGAAGTGTAGGTTCCCATGACTAGAGCTACAGGGCCAGGCTGTTATATTCTGCTCTGAGGGATTTAGATGCATGACAAGGAAGGGAAAAGGTAAGGTAATGAGAGAAAGAGAGATCTCTTACACAGCTTAGAGTGATATAAATTGATGTGATGGATAAGGAATTAAGTGGCTAAGTGGTATTGAGAGGGTAGGAAAACAAGGTAGAATAGGTCGGAGAAGAATAAGCTAAGAGAGAGGAAAGTGAAAGCCTTAGTGGGATACGTGCCTTATTTAAGAAAATTGGTAGGATGAGATAGTCCTAGAAATCTGGAAAATGCATGGTATTTTTTCTAATTGGGAAACATTACTTGCACGGAAATACATGCTGGCTAAAGCAAAGCCATACAGAAAACTTCTTGTATACAGAGGTAGAGGAAGGGACGCAATCAGGCATGCAGAGGAACCCAGCCAATTCCAAGATATGAACCAGAATGAGGTGCGTGTGCTCAGAGTCTCTGAAACTAGGCTGTATTTTTTCTTCTTGTTTTTGGAAGAAAAAGAACTTTGTGAAATTTCAGGTTTAGTTTGAAGGTTCTTATCTGTTTGTCTCTCCTTTTATGTAAGGAAAAAAAGAAAGGGTAGGGGAGGAGTTCTCATTAATGGGGGAGGTAAGGCATTCAGATTCCAAGATTTTGGTCATGTGAAATCCCAATTGTCGTAACGCTTATTTAAATAAAGCCTGTCAAATTGGAAGTCTGGTCCAAGTGCTTGGAGTTCTATGTCATATGAAGGAATGCTATTGTTTTTTCCTGAGTACCTAACTGTATGTACCAATTCTTTCCACTGGTGTGTATACAGTCACTTATATTTCTAAACTCATGACTTCCTTCTTCTGAAGCTAGAAGATGAAGTTACCTGGAAGCTTAGCCTTTTTGTGTGGTCTGCTTATTTGAGAGAGATAAATATCCAGCCTCTCTTGGTCTGGGCTACCAAAAGGTTGATTACAGTGTGGGCAACCACTCATTCCATACAAGCCACAATATTAGAGTCAGGCTGGGTTCAATTTGCAATGGTTGGATTTACAGTGTGCCCAATGACGCTGGACCCTTTTGCATGTTCAGATGTGGTCAAGCCATTCTAAAATTTCCTTTGGGAACTGATGTGTGGATTTACTTCCCAGGGAAATGAGGATACTGTGCAGGTGTTTGGCTCTTAGTCCCACATGAAGCTATGCTATTGGAAGAGTGCCCCGGTGCTGGGAGCACCCCAGGTGCTACCACTCAGATAAGGGCACTCCAATCTGGTGCTGCTGAGGGCTGCATTTGAGCTTCTGAAATTTAGTGCACAGCTAAAGTATTTCCAAGACTAGGTGGATGGACAAGCTCTTGGCTGAGTGGAAACTGCTTCCTCAAATTTCCCATTTTGATATTTGGAGGATACTGGTACACTGTATTTTTTTTTTTTTCCTGGCAATTTCCCCTTGTTTTCATGAATTTATGAGTTCATAATGAAAGAAAACCCAGAACTTTTAGCACATCTCTGCCAAAGATATGGCCATAGGATGACATGGCAAATATTGAAAAGAATGGGATGGGATGTTGGGATAATGCACACAGATAGCCAAACAGATGGTTTTCAAATGAGTTGTATAAAAGATCATCCTTCCTGCAAAAACTAATTCTCATGAGCCACTGGCTAGAAGTGAAAGCAGACAAATTTAAATGAGCTAAAACTCTGAAATCCTATCTGTTGTTTAATAATGTAAGACTACATGACCCAGTGGCCTTTAAAATTTAGTGATCTGTGCAGGACATATTAAGGCACAGAATCCTTGTAAGTGTAATCTACTTTTAATTACTATTATTGATCTGTTCAGCAGTGGCAGAAACTTTTGCATCACTGCTATTAGCTAAAACAGCAATGTCTGTAAAATGAAAGCAAATGCAAGCTAGGACAATCAGTTCAGCCATATTCAGACCTGCAGTGCTTTTCTGGAAACATTCCTTTTTCCCAAAGCTATTTGAAGAAGGGTTTATGGACCCCAGTCGGAGTGGTATAAGCAAAGCGGAGATGAATCGGCAAGTTGCAAGAACGTAGCTTTGGCTCTGAAATATAGTCTATTGCTAGCTGCCTTTCCTAAATCTCGGTGGCTGACATGGAGAAAATAATTCCCAGAACTAAATCCCTGATGCAGCCAAGTGTAAAACTATGATGAAAACTCCTAGCAACATAATGACAGACGTGCTAAGCCTGAGACCTGGCATTTTCCCCTTTGTAATGCAGTGGGAAGACAATTAAATATGAAGAACAC